CGCCGCGGGGTCGCTCCTTAGAGGCCGGCTTTGACACCCAAGGCCTCCCCACGTGCTGAGGGGGTTGCTGTTTCCAAAAAGGTGGTGGCCTCCGCTTCCATGCTCCGAAGAAACCATTTCCATCGCATAATTTGCTGCCAATTTTAGCATATAGGATATCCCATTTCACCTTTCTAAGGGAGTAAAATTATGCAACGTAAAAGCTCAATATTGTCCTTAAAAGAATCAACAGGCAGTGGGACGTGTTTTCTTAGCTGGCTAGCAAGAACCTGAACTAGATGCTCTGGTGTTACAACGCAAAATAACCCTTAGCTGTTAAAATAGCAGTTTGCACTGAATAATCGAGTCTTGGTGCAGGAGCTTCAGCGCTATGCTGGTGAGACGGGCAGGGCCAACAGCTTCCTCCCGTTCCCGCTCCGTCCGCTCTAGGGAGACATCCACATGTAGGGACGTGCAGCGCGGATCCCTGCAGCAGCTGGTCCCGCACCAGCAGCGTGCCTAAGGGCCACCCTCAGTCCCCGGCCTCCCCAGTCGCTGGTGTCCAGACACACGAGCCCCTGGGACTGTGGTCCCGCTCCAGTTGAAGATGTGGACCCCTTACACACACATGCAAACGCACAAGTACATCCCAGTGGATATCCCAGACAATATTTGTAAAATACTGTGTAAAATACTACGAAAATATTATTTTTAAAATGCTAACAAACTAGGGAAACTATGCTGAAATGAAAAAGGAAATAAAATACTTGGGTTAAATACAACTGTGAACATAGATGCTATTCTTATAAGCACGGGGGACCTAAGCAGGCATTCATGTCTTTGATAAATCCAAAATGCTAGAAATAGTTCTGGAATATTGGGCAGCTGGAGAATTAAAATGGAAAGGAAAGATTCAGTGAGGAAATGTACAACGGGAATATTTTACAATTGTCAGAGCTTATAAGAACAAAATTGCTCTTTGTTTGCAAGGCTGCCAAGTGTGACACCATGCCTTCCAGATTTTGGAAGATACTACAGAAATGAAATCCAAAGTATCTTTTATATGATATTATTATACATTTTGATTGGGGGGGAAAAAAAAAAGTCACAGGGATCCTATCAAGTAACAGCAATTCATTCCCTGGCACACTCAGGTCAAGGATGTTCTAAAGTTCTTTTCCAAAAAGAGCTATGTCCCTGTCCTCAGTGTCTGAGAGTTTAACATAGGCATAAATGTTGATATGTGTACATTTTCAGTGTCCCTGCAGCATTAGCCAAAGAAAATGAAATTATAGTTGTAGCAATTGTAGGGATGCTCCTAGAATTGGGGACATGCTTATTATCCCATGTCATCACTTTATACTACACCTTGCTATATAGAGGGTATAGTCACTCCAGAGGAGCAAGAGGGTAATTCAAAGTGTTGTGTCTCCTGCAAGGGGCCTGCTATTTTCTCTTCAGGTGTAGTTTCACTGACATAAAAGAGCAGTAGAAAAGTGGTGACTCCAGCCCCATATATGTAAAGAATGATCTCAGCAGAAAGATCATTCCTTCTGGTTTGTTCTGATAGACAATAATGGAATGGTGCTACTGATCTATCTAATCATTTATAGAGCCTGTAGAGACATAGGCAACATAACTCATATTACATGTATGGTCCCATTAATGGAGGAATAAGACATGACTTTCCTCTCCTGATCTGCTTTCTGATATACATTGCTTTTCTCATTTGCAGAGAGATTTTACTGAGGTAAAATTAAAAATACAAAACAAATAATTGAAATTTTTATAGAGTCATATCCATAATATCCAAAAATGGAGATTGATGCAAGAATTTTTATGTGAAAAAAAATGAGAAGTGGCTTTTTGTTATTATTTTCAAAGATTGGTGATTTCTAAATTTGTTATTCTGATAGGCATACAGGATGAAATGAAAAAAAGAAAACAGAAACATGAAGCTGTTAAAATACATGTTTTCATCAACCTTTAATGTTATTTATGCAGATCTAAATGTGCAACATTCAAAAGGACCCCCTTGTGCACAAGATAGCGTCAGATAAGCTGACAGCTTATCTGTCAGCTAGGAGCAGACAGCTAGGAGAAATTTGACAAGTAATCTTTATGCACTTTATGCTGCTATAGCAGCTTGTAGTAGTCAGACAGAAAAAAAGTGTGAGACTGCAGTGAGCTGACCGAGATGAAGATCGATAACAGCAGCAGTTATCAGGAAAGTTTCTGGCTGACTATGCTAGTCAAAGATTAGCTTGTCCAAGGTTGGTTACAAAACTGTTGACTTTTTCAAGTATGTGCTGCCTTTTAAAAAAGGCAGAGTGTTAGATTCTGAATTGCAGAGATATTTCTTTGATGTTTTTGTTCCACACTTCTGCTTTTCTGCCTACATATTTACACTATGGCTATCACTGTGATATTCAAAGCATGTAAATAATACTGTGATGAACAAATTCTTGAATCTGCATTTAGGTATATTGCATCCAGTGCCTGGATATGTTATAGAGTCACAAGGGTTTCTTCTGCTGCACTGGTAGTTCAGCAGTTAAACTCAGTATTTCTGCAGCCTGAATCCTGTTGCCACGTAAATAATCTCTAGCAAAAAAAAAAATTGGTATATTGAGCTATAAAGACCGGTGTTCCTAAACTGTTCATATGAAAAAAAATCCACAAAAAGAGTTCATAAAATAATTTCAAAAGATGTGTATGTGTATATACACAGTATATATTTTTATGTGCGCAAATTATATACACTGAATATCTGTGTATATATATAACATGCACACAATTATATAAAATAGGATACACAAATATGTTTAAGAATGAAAACCAGCTTGTTTCTCTTAAGTGTGCCTCCTCTTCTATTTGGCCCAGAATAAGGGGGTACTGGAAGGACAACACTGTAAGGTTAGGAAAAATGGGGATAAAACGCAGGTGATGGAGGCTTTATTGACTCAGCTGGAATCCCAGCTCAATTGGAAAATGAATTTTTTAACTCAAATTCCAGGTTGAGAACATTTGTGGGACTCTTACTTACATGTTTAGTCTATACATTTCCACAAGAGGGCAGTACATTCCACTCTTTCTCTGCGTATCTGCTTAGCATACTTTAAAGCAACACCTATAGTAAACTGGGCCTTGTAAAGACAAAACACCAAGCACCAATCCTAGTCAAAGCCCTAGTTCTAAATATAAGGACAACTTAATATACCTGTATGCACGTGTGTGTGTACTTATAGGTACAGTCAGAGCTAACGCTGACGTCAGGAGGCCTGGTAATAACTTAAGTGTTGGTGTATAAAAATCAAGATGGGAGCTCTTGGAATTGGAGCACAGAAACATTTATTTTCATATCAATAGGTGCTGACATACATTTGTAACAGGAAATAAGGTCCCTCCAACAAATTTTCATGATTGTAAGAACAGGAACAATTCCACCTTGCCACCCAAATACTTTTACGAAATACGATTAAAGTATATCATACCCAAACTTACAGCAAATATTGTTAGTTAGGGGCATTGTTTTTGTCTTATGTC